AAAAAAAAGTTCCCAAACGATCAATTTTTGAAAAAGTTCTGGCAATTTAAAAATAAAAGAGCGGTTTTTTTCAAAAATTCATAACTTTTTTTGAGTCGGGAAAAAAAATTTGAAAAAATTCTGAAAAATAACTTTCGGGGGGTAGAAAAAAATAGAAAATTTTCAACGAAATCAAAGGGGGTCAGGTAAAAAATTTGTCGATTTGACATGGAATGACCCATATATATATAATATGACTTTAAATGCCTTGAATCTTCGAATCAAAGATTTGACGATTTTTTTTTTTTTTTTGTATATATATCTCTTTTATTACTATACACGACACTTACTACTATAAATATTACTGAAGAGATAAACATTTTGCGGCATTTACCAGGAACGACATATACTTAGTCGTGAGTTTGAAACCGTTCAAAGCATCGATTATGACTGCATAAACTTGTATAAATCAAATTAGATTGAATAAAATATAAAATTGTGTATTAAAATATATTTTAATTACGTAGGAATAAATTCTTACACGGAAATCAAACATATTACGCGTCAAATGTATGAGTCACCTCTCCCCTCTCAATCTGGTGGCCTAGTTAACCGAATAAGTGGGGACGGATCAGACTCATTCACTACCCTGCACAAAGTGTATACGCGGTGCGGCTAAAGAAATTTTCACTTAAAAAAGCAAAAGACTACCACCCATCAGGCTACTTGTATTCTTATTTAATCTTTGGCTTAACATTTGTAAAATAGTATTCATTATATTGATTGGTTGGTATAACGTTGTCGAAAATTGAACGTTGCGTAAGAATTAGTATATCGTCATAATGCAGGAGAAATGAAATCTAACGGCATCTGCTTAGAACTAAATAGAAGAGCGGAAATGGTTCTATTGAGCGCTTAAATCGTTCATTCTACGTGTTGATCGATCCGAGCCGTAAGTTTAAGGTTATGACTGCGGCATTGTCATGTAGTAGTTCACTTTATTATATCTTCGATTATATTTATATTCAGGAACAGTTACTAGGCAATCAACGAACGTCATGTTAACAAGTGTTCAATAGAGTGTATATATTTTTCTTCTACGTTTGTGGTTTTCAAATAAATTGCAAATATGGTTTTTGAGTCGGTTATAGCAGAGCTTTTAAATAAAGTTTTAGGAGAGTATATACAAAATTTGGATTATACGCAATTAAAACTTAGTTTATGGGGAGGTGAGTATGATTTGGATATTTTTTCATATCTCTTTTATCAAATATTATACTGTCCTTCATGTGTGTGTGTGTGTGTGTGTGTGTGTGTAATATTTATATTTAAATTGTAAAATTGTAAAAGAAGTTCTGGTTAAATGGGGAAAAAAAAATAATTGAAAGTTGATACACACAATATCACATGTATGCGTGAAACGTATTAAATATAACAAGATGTTATTGGGTGTGCGATGTGACATCAGCTTCTATTTCTGATGTCATTCCACGAGCATTTTATCAGACGCTATATCAACATATTTTTTAACTTGACTATAATAGTAGTTGATATAAAAATAGCTATATAATAATTCCAATTAATCTAAACAAGCCATTTATCCTTTAATATTTATTGTATTATATTAATACAATTTTAATATAAAAGTCATTTTCACATACTTTTTCTCTATATTTTCATTTAATTTATCCATATATAATTGAAATTTTGAAAATAACATTATTTTAATATTTTCAACACAATATGATATAACCTAATATTATTTAGTATTATCATTAAATAAATGTTTCTTATTTTTAGGTGATGTAGTATTGACAGATTTATTAATAAAAGAAACAGCGTTAGATGTACTGGATTTACCTATAAGATTAGAATATGGACGATTAGGTTCGTGAATGTATTAGATATTTTATGTCTAGATGCATTTTATACGAAATAAGAATGAACAAACAAATGTTTAATATTGTTCTATGTATTATATTCAGGTAAATTAATATTAAAAATTCCATATAAAGACATATGGAATGCTCAAGTAGATGCAATAGTCGAGGAATTATTTATACTTATTGTACCTTCAAGCCAAGTTTCTTATGATTCTGAAAAAGAAACAAGACAACAATTAGAGACCAAAAGAGCTGAGCTTGCAAGAATAGAGAAAAACAAACAATTGGCAGAAACTAAACGTAAAACATTTGCAAATTATTAATATTATTAATATATTTTTTGAAATGAGGGAAAAAGAAAGATATATATATATAAATTTAAACATAATAAATGACATATTTATTTATTCATAGCACAAGAAAAGCTAAATGATTCAATGGTTGAAAAGTTAATTGCTCGTATGATAAAAAATATACACATTGAAATAAAGCGAATTCATGTTCGTTATGAAGATCATGTTACATTTAAAGATCATCCATTTTCGGTTGGATTCACATTAAATACATTTGTCATAGAAAGTTGTACAGATACTTGGAGTACAACTGGTAACATGAAAGATATGTATGCAATTCCTCAAATTTATAAGGTAAATAATAGGTTTAACTGATAGTTATTTTTACAATAGAAATAAATAGGTATAATTTATGAATTGACATTATTTAAAAATCCATTGTCATCTATGTAGATTAATTTGTTAATATTTTTACAGTTGTGTACATTAGATGGCCTAGCTGTATATCTTAATACTGGTGTTGAACAATTTAGTAAAAATTCACAATCTATGTATTCCAAATTATTCTGTGATGGTATTGCAACGATAGATTATACGCCTATTGGTTATTTATATTGTAAGTTATATTTTATTGCATATTGTAAGATGTTGTAATCATTTAAAAATCTTTAGATAAACGATTATTATGCTTTTTATACTATTATAGTATTGGGTCCAATAAATGTAAATGCAAAATTAAAGCTTAATCCAAAGCCTGAAACAGATAGTAGTAATTATACCATTCCAAAAATATGGCTCAATTTGGAAATGCTTAAATTACGGATAGCATTGACAAAACATCAATACCAAACTTTAGTGCAATTAGGAGAAGGTCTGGATCAAGCTCAAAAAGCTGCTCCATACAGAAGATATAGACCAAATTTAACGTCATATAGAGGCCATTACAAAGAATGGTAAGTAGAAAAAATTTATTTGTTTAAATGCTTATATATAAATATATAAAGTATATTCATTATAACTCATTTTATAATTAATAGGTGGTTATTTGCATATACTTGTATATTGGAAGAAACTGTAAGAAGATATCGTAGAAATTGGGATTGGAATCATATGAAAACACATAGAGATATGTGTCGCGAATATGCACAAGTATATCAAACTAAATTAACAACTAAGAAAGTAACGCAAGATATAGAAGAACGTCTTAAGACTTATGAGAAAAAGTTAGATCTATTCAATTTAGTTATTATCAGACAACAAATTGAAATGGAAGTAAGTATTATACGTATTATTTACTGGATTTGTGTTGAATTATGTTTAATAGCTTATTATTTTGTGATAGGTCGAAAGATTAGCAGAGAAAGAAAAGAATCTTAAAGCAAAAAGAGGATGGTTTGGATTTTTATGGGGCTCTCCTCAAACAGAAGAAACTCAAGAGTTGAATTCTGCTGCAGCTATTAGTAATTATTTGCTTTTACTTTCTATATCTATTTTAAATAACATTGTGAACTCTGGTTGTTTAAACTTTCTCATATAAAGTAATATGATTCAAGTAATGCTTAATAATTTAAAATTCGTTATCATACGTATTGTTAATTATTCTAGTGCGTAAATTCGAGGAAGCCATGACACCACAAGAGAAGGAAAAATTGTATCGTGCAATTGATTATCAAGAGAACACTGCACCAGCTCATTATCCTGAAACATATGAAATGATTGATACTAATTTCTTCTTACACGGACTTCAATTACTTCTTTTAGATACAGATAAAGAACATCCAAGTATCTTGGATTTACAATTAAATAGTGTTCAGGCTGGTTTTAAGTCACGACCTTCTGCCAATGCTATTTCGTAAGTTTATACATTTAAAAAGATATATATTGTGTATGGAATGAAATAATATTTATATTTTCTGCAATACAAATATAAAGATTATTGCATTGTTGTTTTCAATATAATAAATAATAAATAATAATATTATCGTTTTTCAGAATAACGACATCAATAAGTGATATGAAACTTTTCGGAGTAAAACAAAATGATTATATTCCTTCGCTTTTTAATTCTGAACATGAAAGCGCGGATAATGTTTTATTATCTATTGCTTACGAAAAAAATCCTCTTGATAAATTATGTGGAGATCGTATTATTATAAAGTCAAAGTCGGTTGATATTGTATACGATGCTCAAACAATAATAGAATTAGTTAAATTATTTAAAGTTCCAAATTCTTCAGCTTTAAATCAGTGAGTTATATCTTCTTCATATGAATCTTTGAACATAATCAATAATACGATGTTTTACGCAGAAGAATTTTATTTTTTATAGAATTCAAGCAGCTGCTGCAGAACAATTAGAAGGCTTAAAAGAAAAGTCTGCCTTAGGTTTAGAGTATGCTATCGAAAAGCATTCAATATTAGATATTCAGGTATAATGTGTTTTATAAATACATATCGGAAATAAAAAGATTCTTAAAAATATAATATACCGGTAAAAAAGATTTTATATATTAATACTTTTCAATTACAGGTAGACATGCAGGCATCCCAATTAATTATACCACTTGGTGGATTATACGATAATACCAAATCATTATTTATAATAAATTTAGGTAGTTTGAAGATGCATTCTCTTGAAAAGCCCAAAAGTGATAAATCCAAAGCAACTGTTAAACAGCTTGCTAGTATGGGTAAAAGTGAAGAAGATATTTTGTTACACTTAAGGGAACATAGTTATGATAAATTTGCTCTGAATATAGTTAATTTTCAGGTATTTATTTTTTATTTATATATCTTTGAAAAGTAAAGTATAAAAATTTGATCTTTTTTTTTATCTTTATAGATTCTTGTTTCATTAGGAAATGAAAATTGGCGAGAAGCTTTAATGAAAAACGGTTCAATGACATTACTGTGTCCAACTACATTAGAAATTCAATTTCATAAATGTTTAATAACAGATGACCCTTTATTACCCAAAATGAGATTAGTAGGACAATTACCATCTCTTGCTATTAATATAACAGGTTATTATATATTTTTTATAATCCAATATTTGTACGAATTAATTTTTTTAACAAATATAAAAATATAAGATTTTTCATATTGTAGATATACGTTTGCTAGAAGCTCTCAGCATTGTTCAAAGCATTCCATTCCCCGAGGAAGAAACTTCAGCACAACTTACAAAGTCATCACTTGTAAGAAATTTATAAATAAACTAATATTGCTTTCTTTCATATTTCTACTATATTTTGTTATAAATACTTATTTTTCTTTTGTTTTAGAGCAAATCCGTTTCCCAATTGTCTTTATTCAAGGAATTGACTACAATTTCTTCTCCCAACGGTAAAAAAAAACAGGAAGATAAACCTCTTAAACAAACAACTGATTTAGAAATGAAGTTTGAAATGAAAGGTAATTACTTTCTCATGTAATAGACATGATAATTATTATATTTATATTAATGACATATAATATTTATATATTTGTCAGAATTCACTTTATCAATCTCTAAACAAGAAGATGAAACAGTCGTGCCATTTGTAAGATTTGAAATTTTACAATTAGAAGTTGAAATGTTGCAACGTTCTTATGATCAGGAAATAATATTAAAATTAGGCGGTACTCAAATGAAGCAATACCATAATAATGGAGAAATTTTTATGATAAATACTCCCATGTCAACTGGAAAGAATGAGTATCTTATTATAGTGCAATATGTTAATGTAAGTCTAGTTTTATAGTTTACAATTCTTATTCTCGTGATGAAAACGCTAATTATATATTTTCTATTGTTATAGGTGAATAAACGGTCACCAGAGTTTATTACTCGACATGGATCAGTTGTAAAATTGTTACAACTAGAATTTACTACATTAGATGTATTACTTCATCAGGAAGCGCTTATAAATCTTTTAAAATTTGTGACAGATATACAAGTAATATAACATGCGTTATCCTCAATTTGAACAATCTTTGCTCACTTTTCTATTTTTTTTTTTCTCGTTTTTAGGACAAGATACAATCCATGTCTGCAGCTTTAAAAGAAAAATTGCAAGAAGATATAGTACCATCTCGGCCTACTCATTTACCTCTCATACAAGAAGAAACTTCTGTATTTATCAAAGATCAAATTCAAAAGCAGAGAATTAAACCTTCCATTTCACGTACGTATGCTTGTTTTAATAATAGTAATTTTTCCTTACAATTGTATAATGCTTAAAATTTAATCTTAAAAAAAACGGTCCGAATAGAGATACCACTTTTAGAAACTATGTTATTTATAAACAGGACGTAAAAGAGGGGTGATGGAGTTTATAGATTTAAAAGTAAAAGCCAAAGTTGGTACCATTAGCATGAAAATGATTAGTGACGTGAGAGACATTAGTGCGTTTTTTATCGAAGGCATTATTGCTGGTCTTATAATGAAGGCTTCTTACTCGCAAGCAAATATTAATCTTACTTCCATTAATATCCAAGATCTCAATACTACATCAATTTATAAAAATGTAAGATTTTAAATATTTTTTTATTACGTTAAAAAATTCTTTTTTTTTTTTATTTTTTCTTCATTTTAATTATACAAATTCTGTCTTTATTAATTTTATAGATTATATCAGTAGACGGCGAAGAATCCTTAAAGATTGAAGCAGTAATATATAATATTGAACCACAAGAGTTTGATAAAAACAATATGTCTATTAAAATTATTATGGGCTGTCATCGCATTATATTTTTAAATGCCTTTGTTACAAATATTGTGGTAAGAGACGGGAATGTAAATTTCTTATAATAATAATAATAACATGAGTATAAAAAAAAAATTTATTTTCTTATGTTTAGAATTTTCTCAATAATTTCCAAGTAGCTCAACAAGCAATTAAAGAAGCATCTGCAGCTGCTGCAGAAGCAGCGAAAACTAATATTAAAGATGTGCAAGAAAGTGCAACGCGAGTGGAGTTAAATGTTAACATTAAGGTATATAAAAATTACATGAATAATACGAATTATACGAATTATATTTCAAGAAGTATACTTTATGCGATTTATATATTCTAATTTATATATTGTAATATTTTAGGCTCCTATTATATATGTACCTAGAAATTCAAAAAGCGAGCATTGTTTAATGTTAGATATGGGTAACCTTACAGTTTGTAACATTTTCAAAAAATTAGAGACTGAAACTGAATCTGGAGAATATCCTATAGTTGATGAAATGAAGATCGAATTACAAAATTTAAAACTTTCAAGGTATAATTCATTGAATAGAGTTGAATCTTTTAAATGTTTATATTTTTACGTGCCTTTATATTTTTTATTTTTTATTTTTTTATAGGATAAGACTGAACAAAATTGAATTTACGATTGAAAATGAAGTTCTATTGCTAGAACCAGTTAGTTTTACATTATTAATGAAACGCAATTTGTCAACTGCATGGTTTACTTCTATACCAGATATTGATATGTACGGCCGATTGAACAAAATTAATATGCTATTAAGTCAGGAAGACTATGCAACTGTAATGAAAGTTTTAGAAGAAAATTTAGGAGAATCAGTGGAAGAACCTAAATCTACACAAATCCCAGAACATTTTGATAAAAAGACTTTATTAGATCATCAGAATAAGCAAAGAGCAAGTAAGTAAATGTAATAATTTTGTTAACTTTAAATTATTTTTTGTATATTTATATTTATATTTAATTTAATTTTAATTTACAGTAGAACCAATTAAAGTGGATATTAATACAGAAAAAGAAACTACAAATTTGCAAGAGCAAAAGCATGTACACACGTTTATTAAATTTGAATTTATTATGGATAGCCTTGTCATTAATTTGTTCACAGGCGGCTCCAAAATGGTAAAGTTATATATTTAGGGGTTATTATAAATTATATATTATATATTACACATTATATTGTATATATATACAATATATAAACCCCCCCCCCCCCCTATTTATATATATGTAAATAAACACATTTTCCTGCTTTAAGCATTATAGGATTATGTTCTATTGCAGTTACAGACTCAAACGTCACCTCTACATCTTCCGGAAAGTGGTTTGGCAAAGTTTTCCTTAACACATTTTGGAGTTAAAGGACGAATATTCGCTGATGGTTTATTAGCAACCTCTATACTTCTTATGAATTGTACTTTGGACGATATTCGGCCTAATAGAGAAAGTACTTTAACAAGACTTATGGAAAGAACAACAGCCTTATCGACTGTACATGATACAGAAAAAGATACAAAACCTGTGAGAAGTATGTTGGATGTAACAGTTAGGCAAGGCACTAATGACATGTTTGGTGAATAATACATATATACATATATATTATATACTATATTTATATATATATTTTTAATGTCTAATGTGTTTTATATATATATATATGTATGTATAAATTTTCAGTTGATGTCAGAGTGTTCTCATTCAGCATTATCGTATCACTTGATTATTTAATGAAAATAAAAGATTTCTTTAACATTGAATCTTCTACAACAAGTAGAAATCTACAACAATCTTCACAAAAGGGTTATAGTGATGCAGTAACTAAGAAAAAGTCAGTTCATACTTCAGGAAATGTTACTCAAATGTTAACTGTGAATTTACACGTTGAAAAGCCAGATATCATTCTTCTTGAAGATATGGATGATATAAATTCAAATTGCATATTATTAAATGTTTGTAATATAAATAACTATCTTTCTATTTATTAATATTATTAATACTAATGTATTGTTATATATATATATATCATATGTTAAAATTGTATTCTTATAGACTGAACTACTTTTAAAAATGCGCATTATGGGTGAACATCAAGTAATAACAGGTTCTATTAAAGATCTTTCTCTTTTAACTGGTATATATAATCCTGCTAAAAGGGCTGATTGGATATATCAAGTATGAAACAATTATATATATAATTATATTATTTACCACCAGAGATTTATTTAAAAAACGTATATTTTTTATTTAATCTATCTATAAGGTTTTAAGACCATGTAGTGTTAGTGTAGCAGGCTCTACACCTGAAGAAAAAGGTTTGCACATAGATGTATGCTGTACAGACATTCACATTTCTGTTTCGCCAGGTATTTATAAACAAATATTAGTGATTATTCGTCATTAATAATAAATAAATTATATCTTATAGGTGTAATTGAAATTTTGAACAAGGTCATTCATACTGTTACTAAAGCAGAAGTGGAAGATAGCGAAGTGGTAAAGCATGAACCTAATTACGAAGGACTTTGGCTAATTACACCATATGAAGAACAAAATTATTGGTTTTTGAAAACAGGTTTAATGCGCTTCATAATTTCTGTTTAAAACAATCTATTTCTTACATATCAACATTTTCTGATAATTTTTCTGATAATTTTACAATATTTGTTTATAGAAATTGCAGTAGAGGCATTAGAAGATTTTACTTATCCTGATTACGACAATGATGCGGTTTATAAACCTGAATTAGCAATAATTTCTGCACCAACAATTTTGTTAACATTAGAAGCAGGCGTTGGTAATAAAACATTACCAATGCTTTTGATGCATATTGGATTTCAGAGCAATGTCAATGATTGGAGTACTAAATCCGTATGATTTTCTACATGTATCTATATAAAAATTTAAAAAACAAATATTTTTTACTATTATACAATTTATATTTTGTAGATGTCCGTGGAATGTACAATTTCACTTATAATGGCATACTATAATAGTCGTTTGGCTTTATGGGAACCATTAATAGAACCAAAGGAAGGAATTCAAACTGGAAAACGTACTTCAACTCCTTGGGAATTGAAAACGAAAGTAAATTCTTGAAAATAATTTAAAGTGTGAAAATTATTTTATTAAACCACATTCAAATTATATTTTTTTTTCTTTTTTTCTATTTTTCTTTTTTTTTTTTTCATTACCAGGTACAATTTAATGATTTAGCAGTGAACTCTAGAGGAGCTAGTGCTGTTAGTCCAAGTGTAGAAAGTGAACCAGAAGATTTACATCAAGTTGCTAAAATGTCTATTGACGTAACATCTTCTGTAAGAGAATTAATTATAATAATTTTTAAGAAAGTAAATTATTTCAATTTAACAATTTTATTTTATTTTTAAATGAAGGAAAATTTAGAGATTACAGTGACCAAAACATGTCTCGATGTATTAAAACAATTAGGTAATGCATTCTCTTCTGCTATGGTAGTTGGCGGAAAAACGGCTACCCAAAAATTCGCACCATATGTATTGAAAAATGAAACAGGCTTGCCAATGATACTTGATTTAGAACTTAGTCATTTTAAGGTAATAGTAGTATATCATAAATACTTTAGTTTATGTTCTTATATTATACATATAAGACTGTATACATAATAATGAAATACATTAATATATATTTTAGATATTTGATAGTGGTTCAAGATCAAGTAATAATGCAGATTCATATACTGAAGTAATTCTCGAATCTGGAGCGTCCATAGAACTCGCACCAAAATTTATCAAAATAGAAACGCAGCTTCTTGAACAATTAAAAGCTAACTCTGTTAAAGACAGAGGAGACAATAAATTTGTCGTTTCGGTAATACATTTAATTTTTTAATACTTAAATGTATTCATTAAATAATGTGTGTGTATGGGTGTGTATATATATATATATATATATAATACATGTTCGCTGATATATATATATATTAATGCATTTTTTAGTTCAAAGGAATTTATGATAGATTAACAATACCAGTTCTTCGAGCAGATAAAAGATTCTTTTCATTGAAATATCGTAAGGATAATTCAGAAGAATGGGGCATTGTTTCTGATGTTGTTGTTGATGAAGGAAGTACTATTGTTACGCTTAGAAGTATCCTTCAGGTAATTATTTTTTTACATGATTATAATGGATTTTTTTTTATTACGTAATATACTTAGAAATTAAAAAAAGAAAATCAACAGCGAAAATTTAATATTAAATCACACATAGGATTACATTAACAATAATTATTGTAGGTACATAATCATTTCACCGAACCTATATCAGTATATTATATGACGAAACGAGGAAACGAAGTTGAATGTGTAGGCACAGTAGCTCCTAATGATCGATTGAACCTTCCATTGGATGCTGTATATACACCAACAAATATTTATTGGTTATTCTTTAGCGTTAACGGGTTAGTTAATTCTTTATACTATATACATATATTACATTATCAGTTTTGTATTATTAAATTTAAATTTAAATTTTTATTACAGCTATATGGTTTCAATAGAACCATTTGTATGGAAAGATCTTCAAAAGAATGTTTCCATGACAAAACTGTTAAAATGTGAAGCAAGATCAAAACAAGAAATAATAGAACCGTTTTACGTACAGGTAATTAAGTTGTTCTATATAATATCCTTTTTATATCATTTTTTTTTTTAAATAATTTCTTACAATAGCTAAAATTAATATGTATGTCACACTATATATATTAATGTGTCAACTTTTTATTACTACAAATATAATTGTACAATAAGCGAAAAAAATTAGATAATATATTGCATAATTATTTCTAACTTTATTGAAAATTTTATTGGAATGCTTCGTATGCTTATACAAGAAGCGATTTTTTACTTTTAGATGTTTTTCATGATGATTGTGGTTGGTAGTATTCTCTATAATAACAACACAATTAGTTTACTCTTAAATACCATTGACTGGCAATACAAATTGTGTCATTTTATTGATCACGTGAAACGTTTCTGCTTGAATTGTTTTAATTCAGAGCACCCAAAATATGTGGAAACACCTATTCAGGTACTATCATATTCTTCAGTTCATATGTTGCAGTCTCGTATAAAAGTGATGACTTTATGGAGACTAATAAGTGGATCTGCATTGCTCTATTAGTTAGATTGTTTGTCAACTTTGTTAACTGTGAATGTAGAGATTAATATTGTTTATATATGTGTATTTTTTAACTAGAAAAATATTTCTATCATTTTTCCCATTTCTGAGAATATGATTAGTATAGAAATGAATATTATATATGTATAAATTTAATGAGTGTCATTTACGTTTCAATTACGTGAAATTGAACATATACAAATATATATAATTATCATATACAAATATCTCAAACTTATAATTAGATAGTTAAATTGCGAGGACTTAATCTACACCTAAAAAGAAGAAAAATGGGTTTTGTAAAGTTTGTCAGGAAATAATTGGCATAAATTATTTCAAAGTAATAATGTTATTGTGAAAATATTATTTAATTTTCTGGCTTTCGTATCAGTTGCTTGTAAAACTATGATTTAAGTTTTTACCGATCATTTCTTCGCATGATTCTTACGTCTAATTAGTATTGTTACATGAAGTATTATAAACATATGTTGTTTGTAATAATTCATTATATATAAATAATTTGCAGGTTGTAGGAGAGATAGAGCAAGTTTATTTTGAAAATACTAGTCGCCATACAATGGCAAGCACTATTTATAATGTTCATTTATATCCGTCTGTATATCTAAAAAACTTTTTGCCAATCGACATTATTATTTGTCTTCCTGGGATTATTGAAGAAAAACTTTTGGAAGCTAGTGCTACTTTACAAATTCCAACAATTGATTACACAAAATCAAATATTATTATTAAGGTAAAGATATATTGTCAATATTAAAAATGTAGTAGTTTAACATAATTATACAAATTTTACAGCTACCAAATTATTTAGAAAAAAATTGGTCATGTAAAGGTGAAATAGTAGCAAATCCACCGGAGTTTTCAGTCTGGTCTTTTGAATCTTTTGATAGTGCACAAAAAGTTGTTATGGATTTAGGAATGCATACATCATATAAACATGGTTCCAGTATAATGGCTCTCTACTGTCCTTTTTGGATGTTGAATAAAACTGGATTAATGTTATCTTATAGGGTAAGCATAGAAACATGTTTTTTACTAAACACTATATTATTAATTTTTAAATTGTATATACATTATGAATTTTTCAATAACTCATTCTTAATTTATGAATGATTTATGAATGAATAATTCATGAAAAAATTTCATATGACAATTCAATCAAACAGATCTTTTGTAGTAACAAAATTTAAAATAAAATATAAACTCTTATACATATCTTTTTATTTTAATCTTTAAACTGACATTGAAGCAAATTTATCGACTAACTATACTAGCTGGCTTTTTTACTTTTAATTCTTTTTCTATGTAGAAATAAACATATATATTAGAATAAATTCAAATATCTTTTTAAAAAACAGCATTCCTTTTTAAATAATATTCTTGAATTCATAGGATATTTCGACAAAGGATAATGATATTTTTCAAATACTGGACTCTGAAGTTACTGAACAAAAATATTGTCTTGCATGATTCTTTAAATTAATATGTAAATTTATATTTTTTTACTCTTTTTTATTTTTTTAATCTTATTTTGAATGTATTATTTACTCATAATCTTCTATCATGTAGGTGTGAATTTACATGATAAGGTGTCTTCTTAAATACATTTTACTGCATTGAACTCAAACTATTATTTTACAGAAGTCAAGTAAGGGTGGTAAAGAACACTCAAGTCCAGTTAAGGTAGAGCTTTATTACTATTGCACTTTAAATTGATGCTTTTTATAGAATAATTTTATTAAAAGCTTGTAAAATATTATTTTGAAAGCTTGTAATATCTTAATGTTATATATGGTTAAAGTATTTATTAGAAGAAACTTTTCAATATCTAATGTTGCTACTATTATACATAATAATTATTTGTAAAAAAAAAGCAAATATATTAATAGTAGTAATATTATGAAATTAATAATAGAAGGTATAATGTGTTTCGCAGACATTTAAATAACATTTATATAATCATTTTACTTGTATTTAAAAATGCAAAAATACAAAGTTTATTTTTACGAGATAATAATAAAACAATAGCACGCTTTAAATATTTATGTTTTTATCAATATATATATAAAGGTATATTTCAGAAACTGATTTTTGCTATGAAACCTCATCATCCACGTGCACAGTATAGGAAGAGGAAAGCTCGTTTGGTGACATTTTCATTTCAAAATTTATTTAAATATGTTTAAATAACACTGAATTGCAGTAATATTCATAAATTCAAAATTATAATATTACACATATGAAACTGCAATACTAATGACATTTACTAATGATATTTCTTGCCAATATAAAAGTTGTTCTAACATCTATAAATGCATAGGCTGTTAAATAAATATAATATACCAGCTATTTATATTCTATTTCTTTTAGTACTCCGTTTAGTTTTTCTATTTTTTTGCATTTATTAATATGTTTTGTATATTCTTAACAGAACACAAAAAATGGTAAAATATAATATGTTATATATACACGCGTGTGTGTGTTAATATATTATGGGTACAAATGTTTAGTATACTCATGTATAGTTTACAGCAGTGTTTTATCATTACATATGCATGAGCAACTAAATCGGAAAATCATTGGAAAAATACTTGTTTTTATATATTTATCTTAATAATTTATTGTAATGTTAATTTCATTGCTTATGTAAATGAAAACATATTATCACGAAGTATACTATACAGTCTTTCTTTTTATTTCAGAGTGGAGAAGATTATTTAAATATTTTATATCATCCAGAACACTTTAAAGGACCAATATTATTTTCATTCCGTTCAAAAGCCTTTTTTGGTAAAAAGAAAGCAATGATTAGAGTGGAAGATGGAGAATGGTCTGAAAAGTTTTCAATTGATGTTGCGGGAAGTGAGGGAGTAGTTGCGTGCAAATACAATGGAATGATATATCAGGTATTTTTTCCATTTGGTAAAAAATTTCTATTCAAATTATAAATACATGTATCTATTTTTATATAATTAATTTTTATATTTCAGATTGGTGTACATAATCAATTGACATATAATTCTTTAACAAAGCAAATTACATTTACACCTTATTATGTTCTAATTAATAACAGTGATTTTCTAATTGAATGTCAAGAAAGTGATAGACCTGCTGATCCATTTATCGTAGTATGCTAAAAAGATAAAAGATTATTCTTTAATTAAATATTTATATATATATAACATATAACATATTTATATTTAAATATATATTATAATATAGGTTTCACCCGGAGAGTGTTCTGCTTTTTGGCCTCGTTCAGAACACGAAGTGAAAACTTTGAAGGCAAAGGCTGCAGGATATCCTGAAAAAACAGCAGCTTTCATTTATACTGATAGTCATACCACATTGTTAAAACTAGATAATAAGGTTAGTATCTGTTTTATTATTATTGTTTTCTTTCTAATTAATGTATTCAAAAAAATTATTTAATAATGATATTTTATTTATTAGTACGGCGGTATTAATGTTGATATACAAATCAATGAAGGCGGAATATATATTTCAATGTCAGGTTACAGTCCTGGCAATGCTCCAGCTCTTATTATAAATCATACTCATCATTCAATCAATTTCTGGGAAAAAGGATCTATAAATATAAGGTGCGCTAAAAATTCATTCAGAGACTCATCTTTATAACTAATAAATAAATAAGCTTTAGGCGTACATAGTTAAGTAAATAAATTGTAAGTATGAAATAACATTTACGTTTCTTGCAGGTTTATTCAATCATTTAACAGAATGTTTTATACTTGGGAAAATCCTGCTGGTCCAAGAAAATTAATGTGGAAAGATAGTAACAAAAAAGAAATAGAAGATGATCTAAGAAAGGTAAACTAAATAAATTATTCTATTAAGGATTTAAGAATCCATCAGAATTTCTAAGTTATTTTTAAGTAATCATTCCTTTATGATTAAAATTTGTAGGATACTTTAGGTGCTTTTCAAATACCTGACACAGAAGAAGAAATATATTATGTATCATTTCTAAATGGTACACAAAGAGTACTTCTATTTACTACAAATTTGAAAATAGCTGAAGATTGTCAATTAGTAGGTGATCTTGAGCCTATCGAACAAGAGATAACTCTTAATATCCATGGAGTAGGATTTTCCCTTGTAAATAATATTACTAAATCAGAGCTTTTATACATGTGCATAGCTAGGTATAAAATTTCTCTTTCAAGAATATTTATAATTTTTGAATATTATTAGTATACCACCAATATATACTCTTACATAATGATATATTATAGCTCTGGTATAATATGGGAAACGTGTAAATCTATTGGAAGTAGATGGCGTTTTCTTAATGCAAGAGAAGTTAATATTATTGAAGAGGGATACCAAAAATATATACGCGAGTTACAAATTGAAAAGGATCCGCCTTATAGAGTATTACTTGAACCTAAATTGGAGGTAGAGATCTAAACATTTTACAATCGGTATTTTATTCTATAATAATCACTTATCAATAATCAATATTTATGTTGTAATTAACCTTAGGTGGATTACTTAAATATGGAAATGTTAAGACCTCATCGTCGTTATATAAGACGTTCATTCCAAACTGGTTTATGGCTACAGTATAAAACATCAGCACATCAAGTACAATTACATGCTAAAATTAATAGATTGCAGATAGATAATCAACTTTCAGACTGTGTTTTTCCAGTTATTCTAGCACCAGTTCCTCTACCTAAGAGTATCACGCAAAGTACAGGTAAAAAGTGTTCCTTTTATATCTTTTTATTATAATATTGAACTGTTTATTTAGAAAATCGTAATAATTCTACAGTACCAAAACCGTTTGCCGAGCTTAGTATGGTAAAACGCCTCTTAGAACATAGCACTGTTCAACAATTCCGTTATTTCAAAGTACTTATTCAAGAATTCCACATTAAAGTGGATATAGTACTTATAAATGTCATAATGGCCTTTTTTGAAGCAAATGTAGCGAATGATGCAGAAGAAGTAAGATATTATATTTAAATAATTGTATTATTTATAACTATTATATAAATAATATATGTTGATTTTTCTATTACAGAGTGAACTTTTTCGCACAGACATGAAATTAGTGCATGAACCACTCATGTATCATGTTAGTTTGATCACAACAGCTGAACAAAAAAATTTTTTTGATTTATTGCACTTTTCACCTCTCAAGGTTCGTGATATTTGTTATTTATATTATTATGTATAAAAAAAGAAAATCATAAATACATTTATCTAATTATCAAATTATTCTTCCTTTATTAGATACATATTAGTTTTTCAATGACTGGTACTGGAAGTGGACCTTCTGCAGTACCTCAAGTACTAAATGTACTATTACAAGGCATTGGAGTTACGCTAACTGATATTAACGATATCGTATTCAAGTATGTTTTCTTATTTCTTAGATTTTATTAACGTAATATTGCAATTAATATAAAGAACATTTCTCATTTTACAGATTAGCATACTTCGAACGAGATTACACTTTCATGACACATAAGCAATTAATCTCAGAAGCAACTACGCATTATGTAGGACAAGCTATTAAGCAAGCTTATGTTCTTGTGTTAGGTCTTGATGTAATTGGTAATCCATATGGTCTTGTAGTTGGTACGATGAAAGGTATCGAAGATTTATTTTATGAGCCTTTTCAAGGTGCCATACAAGGCCCAGGAGAATTTGCTGAAGGTTTATATCTTGGTGTTAGAAGTATGCTAGGTCATACTGTTGGTGGAATGGCAGGAGCTGTATCGAAAATTACAGGAGCTATGGGTACAAAAATATTACATAAAATTTTTTTTCTATCATTATCATAAATTTAAAATCATAATGTTTTTATATGTAAAGGTAAAGGAATAGCTGCTTTAACTTTCGACAAAGATTATCAAAGAAAAAGACAAGAACAATTGAATAAACAGCCAGCAAATTTGCATGAAGGACTAGTCAGAAGTGGAAAAGGTTTGGTCATGGTATGTTCATGAATTAAGTTAATATTTAATATGAAATACATGTTCTTACAACTTACTTATTAAAATTATTATTTTATTTATATAGGGCGTTGTGGATGGTGTAACTGGTGTTGTAATGAAACCTATATCCGGTGCTAAAGAAGAAGGTATTGAAGGATTCTTCAAAGGTTTTGGAAAGGGAGTTGTTGGACTTGTAACTAGACCAACTGCAGGAGTTGTCGATTTTGCTAGTGGATCTTTCGGTGCTGTCAGGCGGTAAAAACATATTTTTTTATATTTCGTAATATTTAATATCTATGAAAATAGTTTTAAAAACAAAAATATATTTTAGTGCTGCTGAATTAAGTGAAGAAGCTAAAAGAGTTCGTCCACCCAGATTCCTACAACCAGATAGTCTTGTTCGACCTTACATAAGAGATGAAGCAGAGGGTAATAAAATACTAGCTGTAAGTAATATATTATTTTATTATAACAATATATTATATTGTGTGAAATTAATTAATTTTTTTGTCTTCCCAAACAGGAACTTGAAAAAGGCAAATATGCAAACACAGATATTTATTTCTATCATATATATATCAATAAAGATGTCCTATTGCTGACTGATAAACGTATAGCGTATCTTGAATATAGCGATTTATTCGGTGGTTGGAAGGTATGCCTTAAATCAAATTACAAGAATTTCTCTCTATACAATAATATTATTTAATTAAAATATTATTTCATAGGTTGATTGGACCCATACGTGGCAAGAATTTGGTGAATTACCAAAAATAGTAGACAAAGGAGTACAGATTTGTATTAAAGATTCCTCAAAAAGAAAGAAACTAGGAAATTTATTTGGTAGCCCAGAACAATCCAAAATAATCTTAGTACCAGATTGCAATATAAAACAGGTTGACTAAAAAATATGTTTTTTTCTGGCTATTATACTTACATGTAATAAGTAATAATTATTTATCTCATTACTTTTTTACAGTTACTATATAGTAAAATAAGGGAACAGATGAATCAATATGGAATAACAAATGAACTTACATAAGTTACCAATATAAAAATCAAAAAGAGAGAGCATGATTAATATATTGACAAATTACTTATGAAACCTCATGCTTAAGCAAAACTAAGAGTGCCTACAAGCTCAATTTGCATTAAGCTTTATAACTGAAGTTATATAATTTTCATGCACATTCAAATAGTTTTTTATAAATACCATCTGCAAGACTGACAAATACTAGCTTTTAAAAATAGCTATAGTAAAAAATATATTAACTGATATTGTTCCAAGATAAATATATAAAATTCGTATTTGTGGTGCATACAATTTTAATTAATTAAATTTATTTTTACGTTAATATAATTGTTTTCTTTAAAATATACATGGTCATAGAATATATATATACAGAGAGAGAGAGAGAGAGAGAGAGAGGGAGAGAGAGAGAGTAAAATGTAAATTATATTTTGTCAATATTGGTCAAGTATTATTTTATTTTACTATTGCATAGTATAATATATAACCAAGTGATTCTTCTAATTTATTAAGTATGTATATTATATTATATATTAATTCGTAATTATTACATGCAACATCGTACATGTAAACAAGTTATTAATTTAAACAAAAAGATAAAACGCACACTTTTAAAAATATCATAAGTATTTATTTATATGAGATCGTTTATGTTATACAATCCTTATTATTATATATACATTGCTTGTTATTACAATGTAATTATTAACACAATAATAGAATTTTTTATTGAAATAGTTAAAAGAAAGTTACCATAACTCTTGTCGACTTTTATGCAAAGATTTAAATATAGGTATCGAAGATTGTTGCTAGATATTCCTGTCGAAGTATTCTCTTTAAATAATGAAAATTAATATAACTATAGAATTATATTATTAATAAATAAATATTGCGAGTCAACAAATTTCACTCAATCTTACAAATTCTCTTTTATTGCCTTCGAATAAAATTATATATTATTTTTAGATATGTATATATATATATTATTGTAATATGAAAGTATCCTGATATTGAAAATACAGCAATAGTCAAGAAAGTTGCAATAGTGCAACTTCATTCAATATATTTTGTCATTTGTTTACTTTTCAATTAATTATGTATCTATTTATTTATTTTGAATTTATTCTCTTATATTTTTTTAAACTCAATTTTTATATGAAATTTAAAAATACTTTACGAAATATTGATAATTATTATAATAATATTGTGACATTGGCAGAAAATTAATTGATCAAAGTTTTTTACTTGAATAATAAAGGCGAATATAAAACATTTTTATAATAAACATCTTCAATTCTGTACATTAGATTAATGCAATCAACTAATCCTAATGAACAAGAAATTGAAAATATTATACATGGGCCCCCACAGTTACCATCTTTATTTAAAGGGCAAAAAGTACAAAGTGTAAGCTAGCAGTTATTTTATTAAAATATTAAAATATTAATTAAAATCCACATCCGCGTATAATATAATTTAATAAACAAATTTGATTTCTTTGACAGGGTCCATATACTATTACTGTAACAGATGATATGGTAGCCCAAAGGGAAAGACAAAATCAAGAATTATATAGAACTTGGCTCCACGAACAAAGAAGAAGAGAAATGGAAGATGAAGATTATATGGGAGATTTTAAAGATTTGTTAGTGAGAAGGAATTTTATTAGAAAAATTTTTTGCATATTGGCCTTGCAACTTATATATACAACAGCTGTCGTAGCATTTTTTATGTTTGTGTAAGTTGTGTATTATTTTAATATTTTGCTTATTACTTGCTTATACTTATAACTTTAATTTTTTTTACTTTTAGACCTGCTGCACGAGAGTTTCTGTTAATTAATTGGTATATTTGGGTAATAGCTCTGTACGTAAATTTTTTTCATTTTAGACAAATAAATTATTTTAATGAAAATATTAAGTTCTTACATTTTGTTAGAATACTCTTTACGGTCACGTACTGCGCTATAGCATGTTCTGAGTGTGCAAGACGACAAACACCAAATAATTACATCTGTCTTTGTTTACTGGTAAAATTACTGTAAATAGTATAATATCTACATTTATTTATTAATGTACACAATTTCACATACATTCATATTTTTTTACAGACATTGGCTATGTCGTATCTTGCTGCCTTTGTTTCTGTATTTTATGCTATTGAAGTGGTTCTTATAACGTTAGGCATGACCTCATTTGTAACAATCACAATTAGTTTTATAGCCACATTCACTAAGGTATGTGTAATTTGTGTTTAATTATCAAGCAAAATGTTTTATAATAAATTTACTAAAAATGAGTATTTTTTAATAATTCATTGTTCATTCGCAGTTTGATCTAACCATGCGAACAGGATTGATAACAATAATTGGATTAGTTGGAATTGTTGCTCTTTTTGTAATGGTGATGGTAATGATATTTACATACATAAAAACATTGCATGTACTAATAGGCATCATAGGAACACTCCTTGTATCAATGGTTAATATTAATTCTATACAATATATTTGATTATTAATCATAAAAATATATTCAACGAAATGATTTCTATTCTTTCAGTATTTATTTTTTGACGTACAAACAATCATGGGCGGAAGAAGAATAGAAATAAATCCAGATGAAGTTGTTTATGCAATTACTCAAATTTATGTTGATATCATTTTATTATATCAATACATCCTTATGTTGGTAGGTTTGTTCCACGAAGGATAAATACAGGAAATTTATTGCATTCTGCATTTATATATTATGTGTTATTCTATTAAATATAAGTAGCGGATTTTGTCATACTATAAAAATGAAATTATTGAGATATTTCTATATAGTTAATGTGCATATTATTAATAATGTGTGCGTATATTAAAATATATGGATCAATTATGAATCGAAGTTATATAGCGTTAAAGAATTCAATGGAAATAGAAAAAGAATTTTGAATAAACCGCTGAAAATCAAGTGATATCAAGCATACATCGACTCTATCGATTAATACGTGGATCAACATTATATCGATTGTAATCGTTCATTAGAGAATCGCTATTTAACCCGATATCATTTCAAGGTGAATTTGTGAAAGGAGTCCGTTGTTGGTCCTCAGTAAAATCAACCGCGAAACACGAACGTTTTAAATTCGAATATCTATCAAGCAAGGAAGAGACATTAGTATAGTAACGAGTAAAGATAAGATTGGGAATATACAAAAGTCGAGTGATTTGTAAAAGAAAAAGAAAGAGGAAAAATGGCAACCATAGTTCCCGATGCAAAAGATGTTAAAGCGAATGCTTTGAAAGCTTTTGCTCAAGAATTTGGTGCTGAGGCGACAATTTGTGCTTGTGCGCCTGGTCGTGTGAATTTAATTGGCGAACATACGGATTACAATGAAGGATTTGTATTGCCAATGGTAATTTATAGACATTTATAAATAACATTTATTTATTGAAAAATACTTTCTTATTAAGTCGTAATATAATCATAAAACACAAAAATAGGCATTGAACTTTGAATTATATTTGTTACACAAGTTACATAATTGTAATCGTGTTGAGTAAAACATCTATTCTTTCGTGTCAGCAATAGAAATGTTAAACATTGCTCGCGTGAATAGTTGTTTGAACAGCTTATCGCATTAAAATGTTTTAACGCGAAAAAAGCTTCAATTCGAAAATTACCACCTAAATTTATTCTACTTATAAACTTCTCAGTCGTTTCGAAAATAAATTGAAATTTTGTAATTCTCAAAGCAACGTATTGAAAAATATAAGAAATAAAGTTATTTTTGTTTTACATATGTAGATTAGAGCAAATATTTTAAAAGTGCGGGGATCGTGACCTACCGATTTATCACGTTAGATATTTTAATATGAGATTTATTTTCGCGTTCATTAAAAGAGAGCAGCCCGCATTAGCGATAAATTACTATTTTCGAAAATAATTATTATTTTACTTATTTTTGGCCAATTAAAGTACAGAATTAATTAGAGGAATAATAATAATAAATTTTTTCTTATCATTACAACTCTACTACGATATGTATTTTATTTCACAAACCAGTTAGAATAATAACGATTCTTATTTGTTTTTTTCTTTTTTAATTTACTTGCTAATTATTTATTTTATATAACATTATTAATGCATTATAAAACAAATATTGATACTGAATTGTATCAATTACAATTAGTTCTTTGATGTTTTAATTTTTCATTAATATTACTCGTTAGGCGTTACCTATGGTCACAATAATAGCTGGAAGACCAAATAATAGGAAAGAATGTAAGATTATTTCTCTTAATGAAAATATTGGTTCATTACGTCAAGTTGAATTTGATGTTAGTGTTAAAGAAAATATAAAAACAGGAGAACCCAAGTGGGCCAATTATATAAAAGGATGTATTGCATATTTTCCATGTAAGGACAGGTTTTTATCAAATATCATATAACGATGTGAAATATAAGTTTTATGTTTTTTTTATAAATATATTTGTAGATGATTTGTCAGGTTTTGATGCCGTAATAGTCTCAACGGTACCAGTTGGAGCAGGTTTAAGTAGTTCTGCTGCTCTAGAAGTAGCAACTTATACATTTCTTGAAATAATGAGCGGTCATAAATTGGAGAAACCTGAAGACAAGGTAATTTCCATATTTGGACATATTAATATGTATAGCTAATAAGAAAAGAGTTAGATTAAATAATAACATTAAATAAAACAACTTCTATATTCGAATAAAAGTACATAGTTTACAGGCCTTGGCATGCCAACGAATAGAACATGATTTTGCTGGGGTACCATGTGGCATAATGGATCAATTCATTTCTGTGATGGGAAAGGAAGGTTGCGCACTTCTTCTAGATTGTAAAGATCTTTCAACCAAGCATATACTTATGAAACATATAAATAATTATGTTTTCTTAATTACAAACTCAAATGCACCTCACAAACTAAGTAGTAGTGCTTATTGCAAACGTAGAGATTGTTGTTATGAGGCTGTAAAGAAGCTTAACATAAAGAGCTTAAGAGAAGCGACGCTAGATAGTATTGAAGGTGATTTTATTAACATAGTTCGTTTATAAATATTAACAATAGAAAATTTAAACTAACATTTATTACTGCTATTCTAGTATTAAAATCACAGAATGCTTCTGAGGAGATGTTGAAAAGAATTCATCATGTAGTCAGTGAAATTCAAAGAACAATTAATGCTACAGTTGCTCTTGAAAATGGTGATTTCGTGCAGTTTGGTCGTTTAATGAATGAAAGCCATGAATCTTTACGAAATGATTATGAAGTTTCTTCCAAAGAACTTGATATTTTGGTAGCTGCAGCTAGAGAAGTTAATGGTGTGTTAGGAAGTCGTCTAACTGGGGCAGGTTTTGGCGGTTGCACTGTTACTTTATTAGAAAAAGAAGCAATTGATAATGTCATTCAAAATATAAAAGCAAAGTTAGTTATTTTATATATTAGATTTTTTAATTAATATAATGGTCAAATATAATATTATATTTATTTGTTAGGTATACTGGAACTCCATCCTTTTATATTGCAATACCAGCTGATGGAGCAAGAGAAATGAATATAAAGTATTAAATGTGAGTGATCAATGTATTATTTAATTTAGAACAGCGTTACTCTTCTTATTGTTTTTTAATCTTTCTTGAGAACAATAGACAAAATAAATGTATCATGGAAATTTATTGTCTGTTTATAGAAAAATGAAATTCGGAAAATAAGACATGCAATTATAAACAAACAAGAATCTTCATAAAATAATGCAATAATATCAAATTAAAAGGAACAAATAACCCAGTCTAATCAGCCAAAAAATTGACAAATAGAATAGAAGGAAAATATCCCGAAGTTTGAAAATTTGGCACAGTTGTTCATTCGAGTGTCTATTACAACGTACTGAAAGTCCTCGACGGTGTCCCTGGAGAGGCAAGGTTTTTTTTTCCTTTTTTTTTTTTTAAATATTTCGGAAAATATTGAGTTTAGTTAAAAACTAATACTATACAAAATTAAACTAGAGTAAATTCTCTAGAAAAGAGGTCTTATTCATTCTTTTTTTTTTTTTTTTTTTTTTTTTTTTTGTGTAGTGTTAATACTTTTTTGGAGATAGAGAAGGAGAAAAAATTCGAAAAATTCAAAAAGGAAATTTATGTGGCTTTATTTATACAATTCGAATCGTAAGATACACATATATTACGTTATACATGGTGTTTATGTAGATTATATGCGATGTACATTGTGTATCTAAATATCTTTTCATCTAATTGTGATGTAAAAAATATTTTGTACATAATGTGCAAGATGTCACACAAAGAACACCGGGAAGAATATTTTTCTCCTAAGATCATTTCATTCTGAGTTATCATAGTTACCCGTATTTTTTGTCACTTAACTATATTTTTTATTGCATTGTGTAGCTGATTGTAAGATATATTTGCATTAGACATATACCAAAGAATTTTTAATATATACCAATGAGTCAAATATATATTGTAATATTTAGTAATACGGTGTATAATAAAAGATATTGCTACAAATGTTTTACCAATTTATGTTTGGTAATGCATAATTATTTTTTGTTTTTTCTTTTTTTTTTTGTTTTCTATATACATATACATATACCTATGTAGAATTTGTTCTGTTTTAATTTTTCTTTTTTTTTTTTTTACTGTAAGGTTATCGTTCATCATAAAGCTCACATTATGCTTACATATACAACCAGTTAGACGTTTTTTGACAATTTGGTTATCAATTACATTTCGTTCAATTTTTTATCAATAAATAAGGATCCTTAGTTATGCAATATATGTATAATTTTACTTACAATTAGAGCAGTCAAAAAACGTTCAACTGTTCTTGTCCATACTGAAAAGGTTCATTATATAATTATTAATTATATTAAATAATACATTATATTATACGTACAAACACAACACACATACACAATACTATTATACGGGATTTTTGTTAATCAAACCTTCTATAGACAATCATTCTACATCAGACAGCCATGATGAAAAATTATATAACGAAAAATAAAAGAATATTATTAATTACATAACAACTTCGGCGGATCATTTTTTCATACGTAAGCAACAGTATAATGTGAATCAGGTTAATATAAATATCAGATATAATATAAACGCAGTTGGCATTTTAATTCTAAAGTGCTGACATAATACTGTTACCTGCCAAAAGCGAAAAGAAGGACGGTCTGTGCGTTTAAGGAATCATCAACAATGTTCACATTTATTCAATACCTGCTTATAGTTGTCATCAAAATATCCGAATATTCTGTAATATAAGCAAAAAAAAATTATTAATAATTGAAATTAAGATAAATGAAATATTAAATATAAATATAAATTAAAATATTGTGTGTGTTTTTGATATATCGGCTATAATATGTTGCAATTTATGCGTTTCACATCGATCGATCGTGTTTATAAATCAAATATTTATAATCAGAATCATTAAAAGAATATTAAAACATAACAATATAAAAATAAATTAAACACTATTATTCAACATAATCAATGCAATATTATAACAACGACTTTAATACAATTTTATATTTTAATAATAAAATAAGTTATATGAATGCGGAAAAATAAGTATAGGTACTCGCAACTAATTAGCAAAGTGTTATTATTATCGATAGAAATGTACCTTTAAGACAATCATTTAATTCGAGTTCGCTAGAGCTACACTTCAAACTCGAAGGTTTTACTCCTCTAAATATTTCAATGATGCTAGGCTTTAAATTGTGAAATATCAATGGTTGACCACGTTTTGAGAAATCTTCTATCAAGTTCTTCACCCCCTAAAAATAAAATGATGAAAATAAGAAAGAAAAAAGATACATTTAATTTGCATCTTCTTGAGGCTTAACCTTAGCAGCAGTAAAATCAACAGCTTGAATGTGAGTAGAATCAATAACAACGGGTACTGTTACACCCTGTTTTGTTCCCTGTTTACTAATTACAGCTCGAACGTACTCGACACTTGGAAAGACAAGACTTCTATCTGGAGTTATGACAAGATATTCGCAGCCGCTTATGCTCTATAAAAATATACCAAAAATATATAATTTTATATACTAAATATTATTTAAAAAGTATGAAGAAAAATGTTAACTATTCACCGTAGCTTTTTGGACTCGCAAAGATGGTCTGGCCGATGCATAAAGCAAGAATAAAAGATTAACACCTATGCCAATCACTATACCTAATTCTAATCTCACAAAGAGACAGCATAAAAATGTTACAATCGCAGGCACCAGATCGATCTCTAAAAGAAATATAATTTATTGATAATCAAATCTTTTTGAAATAATCTATATTGGGATAGATGATTAAAAGTAGATGTGATCGCGGGTAATATTTGTATATTAAGATTCAGATTTCACAAAATGCACGCACATACTTTTAGTTCTCCATATTGGCTTGATTACATGGAACTCAACCATAAAGACCACAGCTGCTATGATAACTGCTGCGAGTGCTGCTTTAGGAATATATCGAAGATATGGAGTAAGAAATTGTAATGATACTAGGACGAGAAGACCTGTGTATATTCCACCTAAAGTTGTTCTAACACCAGAGGAATGGTTAACAGCACCTCGACTGAGCCCACCACTGACTGGCATCGATGATACGAAAGAGGAAATTACGTTGCATACACCCAATGCTAACATTTCTTGAGTGGCGTCTATAGGATTGCCATCATCTAAGGAAAAATGTCAGCATTATGTAATATCAAATTAGTATTTTGTATAAATTAACACACTATAACTAGAATTATATACAATTAGCGTATCTGAGTGATCTGTACAAAGTTTGGAAGTAAGTTCTTGGAACCTGAATAAGCAGAAAATATACCAAGAATATGGAAACGCTCACTTTTTGATTTATAAAGTATAATTGCATAAGAGTTACAAACCACGTTTATTTATTTCTTCGGCTTTGCAAAAAACGTAATAGAATGGACAGTCCATTAAACATAAGCACATTGGGTTTAGAGCCAATTTCGTTATACACAGTTATTTAATGAATAGATTCTAACTAATGTTATTTCAAGACACACGTTCATCGATGTTTTCTTATATTATATGAATTAGCAAGTTTATTTTATAAATTTTTACAATGTCAGTCTAACGTCGATTTGATATGATAAATTTTTCAATCATTACAAGAAAACTTGGTACTAGCAGCACTGTCGCGTTGTAATTCCAAAGGCAAAGGTTCGCGACCCCGAATCTTTTCCCGAAAGTTTCTGCTTGTTTAGGTCCTTGGAACTTATGCCCAAAATTTGTGAGGGTGAGCTCATTCTGTGGACCACCCTTTATAATATTAAAAATAATAAGTACTTACTGAATACTTTGGCGATGGAGATAGTTTCCAGAAGACTTAATAAAGGTACGACTAGACATCCGGAACCTAATTCAGTCACCATGTCACTGAAGTGATAGGTTTCATTACCGATACTCGATTGGAAAGGTGGCAAATGAAAATCCGGTAAACCTGCTTTTACTTCTCCCGTTAAAATGACTGGTGATGAGCCAAGATAAATTTCCAATAGCCAACATATAACAGCACAAACGACAACGATTAAGATATTTCTGGCAGTCGAGATCAACCAAATAAGTTTTCTCAGCGTTAGTTGAATTTTTGTTGGCATCTTAACATTTCGTGTCATTATCGGCAAATCTTTAGCTTTCTGCAGATGGAAATATTATCATGTTGCATGCAAGGCAACTAAGGATTAGATCGATTTAATGATACAAATTTATCATACTAACCCTGAGAAGTAACAAAACGATTATGCATACAACTCCTAATGTAGTGTCCCACGGTTTGATATCGCTGATCTTTTCAAAGATCATTTGCCAGACTTCTAAGAACTTTCCACCAGATATATTAATTCCTAAGATATCTTTCATTTGACTGGTAGCGATGATGATCGATGCGGCTGAGGTGAAACCAACTGAGACTGGTCCCGAAATAAAATCGAGTAAGAAACCTGTTAAATAGAAACAAGAAATATATATTATTTAAGTCTCATTTTATATATAAACTAAACGTAAAATTGTTTTCTATTATCTACCCAATCAAAGTGATTAAATGAAAAGATCTATATGGACTTAAGTAACAACTAGCAAGGAAGGATATGGAGTTAGTGCTCATACTCTGCAAACTATTAATTGCTATTAATTAATGTGATGTTTATCACGGATACTATAACATTTTCTTGAAATCTTTTTAATTGTCTCCGTGATATCACCTAATTGCAATATGCCCATTAGCAAGGATATACAGCCAGAAACGAAGGTCAATAAAACAGAAAAGTCTGGTCCTAAGTGAGATTTTTGAAGGGTTTCTCTTGTTAAAATTGCAGCTATCGCTGTTGGTCCTACTGGAACGTCCTTGCAGGAACCTAAGATAGTATATACGAAGCATGCCATAAAAGATGAATAGAGACCATACTGAAACATATGAAAATATTTCTCATTTGTGTGGCAACGGTAATTGGTTATGGTAGTTAATAATAATAATAATAATCTATACATATACACATATACTAATCTCATTTTCTTAAAATATGTTGAAAAATATTGAAATGTTCTTGTATTATTATCCCTTGAAATATCATCCATTCGCATTTCTTTATATTTGTGGCTATTATTAAAATAAAATAAAAAAAAAATAGTCAATAGAACCGTTAAAGGGATCGTTTGAATGGTCAATCAATGCACTCACTTGTAGAGGTAGACCAGCAACATTGGCGTAAGCTATGGCTTGTGGTATGACCGTTAAACCAACAGTGACTCCAGCTACCAAGTCACTCGCTATAAATTCTTTACGATATTTTGGTAACCATGCTAGAATAGGTATCCTTTTGTAAAGCAACTTTTTTTTACACGTCTTTTTTATTCTTCGACACAACCAATTCCTCATCGACGAAAGTAGAAAATTATTGGTACGGTTTACTGAAATTATAAATGTACAAAATAGCTTTTATAAGTACTTTTTATTTTTCAAGTAAAAAATTCTTCTTAGGCGACACATGAAAAGAGAGGGACAAAGTATTTATAAGAATAAATTCTATTTACTACGCATATTATTTTCGTTCTAAGTATGTACGTAATTTTCGGTAAGTGGACCGTTGTTGCTGGATTTCAATTGAGTTTTACTTCTATCTATGTGCGTGTGTAGGCCACGCACATTCATTTAATATATTACTGTTTCTTTTTTTTCTTCTTTATTCTACGATTTATATACGCGTAGATTACATTTCAATAAAATGATTTTGGCGAGTGACATCACCGATCACGAGCATGCGTGACTGTCATGTGATTCCCTTATCATGCATCATGTATTTACATCCTCGCGCACAGTTTGTCCTCGCGTCGATGTTTTAGAAAAACACAAAAAAATGTTTTTCTACAAATACATGATGGAAAATCCAAAAATTTGTTCCACAATTATTTAATCATATTGAAATTGGAAAACATCGCTCGTTAATCAAATGCGTTAATGAAATTACGTAAAGATCATCTGACCATACATCTAGTATCTTTCGGGCTATATGCCAGTCTTATTATACTCATGTTAAATATGTCCTTTAGATATGTCCCCATAGAAGAAGAAGAATACTCACCGTCATCCTTGCTCTCTTTATCGTCTTTGCTAGAAAGATGAACGATGGCCAGTCTAGTTTCAAGGTTATTACTTAGATCAGGATCGTTGTTGTTAAAACCGGTCAGTCTAACTTGTTTGTAATTTTCAAGATCGTACTCTTCTTTGACTGTGTATTTAGCCATTTTGTTCTCTCATCAATTTTGTATATTTTGGAAGGAGAAGAAGGATAGGATTCCTTAGAAATTTCTTCTCAATAATATCGTTGTAGTTTCCTTGTCCTTTCTTCTTTTTGATACCAAGGTCACGAACGATCGATCGAACCTTAATCAGGTAGAATCCATTCTTCGACTCGATCATAAGTTACGCGATACTGAAAAGTGATTATTAATTTGATCTCAGCTTTAACATTATGATTAATCATTTTATTATTTTCTTTGTACGTTTCTTTGAAAAAAACAAACTTTTTTCTTCATTATGGTTGCTGTGTAATGTATTTTTAACGTTCCGCAAAAATGATATAATGGACAAATAATAAAATAATAATACAGGTAGAAAATATAATAGAAGATTTTTGGCGCGTGGCAGACAGTTATTTTTTAACTCTCTTGTTTACAAATCAATACACGTAACCGGATAATTGTCGATGCATTGTACGCATGAACTTCACCTACATTCCATCGCAAAGTGAATACTATAAAGTAATTATCTAGACTCATTCTTGTGCCATATGTACTTATAACTGTCGGTAATTACATAAGAGCACGATTAATTGCGTTACACTCCAGTCATCGGTACATCGGTACACACCAATGCTGGTGGTGGTGGTGGTGGTGTTGTGATGCTGGATGAACAAAATATCTTCATAAACGTCCAAACGTATGGCTCGCTCCTTCATTTCCACCTTTTTTCTTTTCATATTTTTGCCACGTTTAAAAGTCGAATTTGACGGTCTCTCTAATTAATCGGCAAATAGGCAAAGATAACGAATCACGTCATTTTTTTCTTTTATTTTTATTTTCTTCGCTGATTGCACTTGAAATCTTTTTTCTTCCTTATTTTATTTTTCTTCAACTTCAACTATATTACTTTGCTGTCATAATCACGTTAAAAAAGAAAGCGTGCTCATTTGGTTAATTCTAATTTATGAAAATTGTCTATTGTTCAAGAGAATTCTATTTAAAAAGGAAATAAGAAGAAGAAGAAGACAAATTTGTTTTTTCTTGAAAACAAAACATAGAAAAAAGTGTGTAATATGTAAATGTGTGTAATTTGATAAGTATTTAAATTTTATTATTTTCTTTGATTCTTTTTTCTTCAGAGATATATATATAAAAGACTTGGCGAACTTGAACGTTCGAAGAACGCGAAGAATGAAGTTCTCGGACACTTTAGTAACACAGACGATTGCTCGTGCTTCTATAATTCGATATATACCGTTAGCAACGTGATCGCGAGCGATTAGGATGATGATGATGATGATGAATCGATCGTTCGATGCAAAATTATAAGTATCCTTTATATTATAATATATCTTATGTGTGATTTGCGCCTGTATACGTGTATATATAAACATATATATGCACACTTTATCTGTAAAACGTTTTCCAATGGATTGACAGTGCGCCACGACATTCTACCTTTCGATTTCCTTTCACATTTTTTCTCTTACGATCCTGTTATAATATTATATACTAAAAGTGAGGGAACAACAAGACTGTTTTCTTTTGTATTCTGCGTTTGACGTCAAAGATCTTTGTGAAAGATTAATCCTAATTTTCATATACGTATAAATAATAATGAACTTTCTTTTAATTGTTATTTTTTATTTAACATTATTTGACATATTTTGAATTTTCTTCATGCATTTAAATTTCTTCCCTTTTTGGGGGAATGATTTATTCGTATACGATACTACTGCTAACGTTATTATGCAATGCATCGAGACTTTTTTATCCTACAAGAGGCCCCACCATTTCGACTACGAATATTACGATCGCGAACGAAAAATGACGCGCGTTCAAGTTGGATCGATCTTCGAAAGAATCCATACCTACATCATATCTGTAATGTTATTTCCAAATGAAATAATAGATCACAATGATTATATAAAATTATATCCGGTTATTGTAAAAAACGAAGGTATATAATGATGTTATTTAAAAAAATACAGAAAAATAAAAGAAGAAGAAGAATAAAAGAAGAATGGGATATAAAAAAGACCAACTATTTGATCATAATACGAAAGAGAAAGCGTATATTTTGAAATAACGAGAATAAAATTATCTCGTATAACTATAGTAACCAATACGATCGTCTTTGTCTTATGCATATACCGAGTGATCCAACAACTATTATTCCCTCAAATATTCTTCTTATTTTCTTATATTTTATATTAACAAATGTATACCAAAGTTGTATATAAACAACACTTGTTTTGGTTAAAGTTAGAAAAGATGATTGGTTACTTTTTTTTTCGCAAATGCACAAGCACGTGCATTATCCCATTGCGGCGGAATCCATTTACTGATAATCTTGAAATTTCATAAAATCATAATTTTGCACAAAAAATTGTTTCCACTGTGCGAGTTTTAACTTGAGAGTTTCTTTTTCTTTTTTTTTTCTTTTTTCAACAAAATCCAAAATAATAGTGATATTGGAGGTGATGATAGTCGATTTTTATAACAAATTGATTATCTTAATTCTAAATGAAAATAATAAAAGAAGGAAAAATATAATCACACAAGAATTCTATCCTTTCGTTTCGCAGAATCCATTCACAAGGCTTTACCCGAGGAGAGTCCTTGGAAAAAGTGATAATCAATTAGATGATATACACTCGTAAAGTTCCTTTTTTCATTCTTTTGCGATAATAAATAAAACAATGGTTATGGGGTTATGGTAGTAAAATAACACTTACATATAATGTATCTAGATTGAAAATTTGGTCTTTCTCAATGACACCTTTCGGCGGTGCCTATGTAATAAATCAATGAAATTTATTGTATCGGTCAAGGTTTCGTATATTATATGACAATATATTATCATATTGCTCACACGAAAAGAAATGATTTTTTAAAGAAAATTGCTTAGAAAAAGAATTTGTTATTATTAATTGGGGCAGACTTTTATAATCGAAAAGGAACATTAGTACGTAATCGAACGTGTCCAGGTCGCGTTGACTTTTATATGATTTAACTTTTTTACTCGATCCTTAAAATCAATCTAGTTCACCCTAATATATATATGAGGAATATTCATTTTAATAACACAAATGGAGAATAAAAAGTAAAATTTTTACACTGACTGGATTTAAAATATATTTTTTCAAAATTAATTTACACACTTAACAAGTAAAATGTGATAATGACAATGAGAAGAAGAAAAATGAAACATCATTAAATTGAATTTCTTTTTTATCTATTTTTCTCTTTAAATTAATGTGGGATATTTCCAATGAAAGAAAAAAAGCATTATTGGATGCGTTCGTCAAATGAAACGATCGCATTCGTGTGCTATTCCTTCAGTCGTGGCACGTATATGTAAGTGCATAAGAAGAAAGTTTATTAGAAGGCCTATAATTCTACATAAAGCCGGATAATGCTTTCCCTGTACGAGTTAAATGTCTAAAACGGTCTACTCTTTTTAACTCGTGCATTCTTTTTGTTTTATTTCAACGAATCTATTAGCAAATAATATTTCAACCTACATCAAATTTTCTTTTAAAGGCTGTCAAAACTCGCATTTAATCGCTCTTTTTACTTTTTACTTCTTAAGGGTTATGCACCGAGTAATACTTCATTATAACACAAAAATATACAAGTCCCCCCCCCCCCCCCCACTGTAGCGATAATACAAAATTATACTAACAATGCAAGAACGAAGGACGCGATAACGCACGTTTACTGGATTATTACAGACGAATTTCATCTGTTTTTTTTTATCTTTTTTTTTTTGTTTCTTACTAAAATGTATTAAACATTACACGTGGTGGTAAATTGTTCAAGTCGACGTTCTAATCAATTTCATTTAAAACTAATAGATGTCACGTGTTAGGCATGCTATCGTTCATTGTACTCGCATGCACGCGTTCCTACATTTACACACGCATACGGATTTTTTCTTTATTAAGTTTAACATAATCGCTACAGAATTCCCGAGAGTATTTGCCAATGAGCTTATTTATTATTCTTATTTCCAAACAGATCGTATTTTAGCACGTAAATGCACCAAATAAGAAGAAGGAAGAAAAAAGGAAATAAAAAAGATTCGTAAGTAATGCTAATGTACACATCATTTCTTGAAAGCTTACCGTTATAACTCTCTCGTTCGCTCACGTTGACATCATTTTCATTCGACACTTTGATATATCGACATACGGTTTTCGAACGTTCGAGATTTTTTTTTCTTCGTTGGACGTTGTAAATGACAAAATGATTAAAAAAAATATATATATATACACACAACCAAAGTCCCCCCTCCCCTCCCCTTCCCTTCCCTTCCCACCCCACCCCTTACACACACACAAAAGATGGAACGAAATTTGATGATAATAGGTAAAGTCAATTTACTCGTTTGTTTTGATTTTTTTGTTTCTCATTCGTGATGAAGAGGAAATACTTATTTATCGTTAGATAGAGAAAGAAATAGGAACTGAACAGTAAACTCAGTTGACTGGTAGAGTGATCGCGAACGTGAAAATTCCGCTCACTTCTCGTAAGAAGCAAGTTAGTTACTCCGTAAAGCACGCGCGAATGGGGCTCTCTTCCTTTCGTGTGGGAGTCAAAGTTGCCGGCTCACCTGCACGCGATCACCTGGAAGCAATAGCCATTTGGTTGGTCCGTATAATGTTTCGTGTCCCCCTCCCTACTAACAACTCTCCCTTCGTTTTCTTCTTTCATCCTATACCTATGTCTACAGTAAAGTATATATATATATATTAATAATATTCATTAATAATAAGAATGCATACTTTTTTATTTATCCAACTCTTTAGTTGTTCAATTATTTCTTTGTTTTAGTCATTGTGTAAGTTCGATCTTCATTTATATAAAGATATATTATATTGTAATAAGTAGGAGGATAAATTAGAAATAACTAAAGGAAATATCATAATGCAACGTTTTTATATATAAATTGAGGATAAATTAGTAATAATTATAGGAAAAATGATTGTATGAGAGTACAAAACTTGAACATATTAAAATTGGCTTACTATAATTATACAAAAAAGAGTAAGAGAAATATTGACGCATATTGAGGACGGTTAATTAAAAGAAATAATTAACATTAACCAATATACGCAGTGTAAGCTCAAACATAAGACATAATGAATATGACAAACAGATTTTGTCGTCCTTTTAATATTTATGAGAACGTCATATAGTGATAAGATAACGATACACATGTTACGCATACACGTACATTCTGTGTGTGTACTTACAATTAAAGAATATTTCTTTTCAGATCGTATTCAAGTAAAATGAGATATGGAAAAAAGTATGCAATTTATTCTCATCGGCCGGCGGGTATCATTAATGTATCTAACTGTACATATATTCCCTTTTTTTCTGCACTTCTACAGTTATCCTTAACTTCTGGTATCTCAACTATTCAATCACACGTGTGTTAAATTAGAGAGCGTTTGCTATTGGCAGCGACAGTTTCGACGGCTTTTCTTTTCGTGTTATCGATGCACGTATCGACTACGTTTCAAAGGAGATCGCAGGTTTTTTTTTTTATTCGTTCCTGTTAAATCGATCGAACAATTATTGTAGATATGAAAAGAAAATAATAATAAAAGAAAAAAAAAAAGAACAAACAATTGGCACGTGTGAAACGTTGAAACGATGAAATGGCATGCATGCAGTTTTAATGTAAAAAAATGTATATACAAAATGAATTAAAATTGACATCGTTTTGAATTATCCCCAGACAAATATTATTTTTGTATTCATTATATATTATTTCATTGATCACGTTAGCAAATAAAGTTGCATAGTCCTATAGGAGGATTATACTTGTGTAACTTTAACCGAAGAAAAAATAAGCCAGTTTCAAATGGATTAGATCATATTGGGAAGGAACGAAAGGTGCGCAGTTCTTAGTCAAGCATACGGAATAGAATGTATAGTGCTCATTTTAAAACCAAAACCAGTTGGCCCTTCGATAAAAGAAAAAAACAATCGGCTCTGCTCGGTTCCCGCCGTTTAAAACGCATAGGGTAGAAGTCATAACAGAGCATTATGCGACCATACCAAAGTAATCTTTTAACCAAAAAAGCAATTTATATTGGCGAACAATTGGAACATCCTTGATGATTGTTGAAATGATGAGTAATGTTTATCAATTTGATATTACGAAATAACTAAAAGAACAAGCTCTTGAACGATTCTTCGTTCTATTCATGCGTTCGTTCGACAGTGGAAACAGAGACAGATGCAAAAGGATCTTTTTTTCTCTCTTCTTTTTTCCTGGCGTCACTTCAATTGTTATCTTACGTTAACTTCCGGTTCCGTTACATCATACGACCGATCGCTTACGAGTGGCACATTACGAATGGAATTCGCGCAAATTGCGATCTTTACAATTTTTCTATTTGCCGATGATACACGATCGCCGCAACCTAAGCAAATCTTTGTTGGAAAAATATTGCTGATTTGACGTTTACGCAAACACTATTTAACGATTTCCTTGAATTTCGATGCTGATCGATGCTGATCGAATTACCGTGAAATTAATGATTTTCATGCTACTACGTAAGACTATTTATGACAATAGGAGCTTCTTTTTCTTTCATTTGTATTTCTTTTTTTTTCCTTTTTGGTTTACAATCAAGAAAAGTTCATTTATTATAAACGCGTAATATTATTGCAAAAACCACGATTAAGGATAAAGTCAAATATGACATTTTATATGTTTCAACGAAAAATATCTATTTATACGGAAAAGAGAAAAGCCAAGTTTATAACTAATTGGAATTTTACCTTACAAAAGTATATGTAATAACAGGAAAAATTAAACGATGTCTGCCATTCATTGGGAAGTACTGTCAAATTATCCGTTTATAATTCTTTCTAAGATATTATACTACAATTCCTCTCGACTGTTCTCACTTTCTCTCGCAATTAGGATAATAGAAGAAAAAAACGATTCTATTTTGAATTATACGGCACATAATAACAATTGAGATGTCGTTAGAATTAATTAAGTTTCTGTTGAAATTGACTTTCAAAACATATTTTCTGATTTTTAGATTGAAACTCAAAGTTAATTATCAAAGTGATAGTTTGGGAAACAAAGAAAAAGAGAAGAAACAATTTGTCATGAAAAATTGTAAAAAAATAATTGAGGAAATGACTCGAAGACAAGTCTTTCGGACGTAGTGACGAGGTGGCCGAGTGGTTAAGGCGTTGGACTGCTAATCCAATGTGCTCTGCACGCGTGGGTTCGAATCCCATCCTCGTCGATACGCTTTTTGTTTTCTTATTCTAACATTTCGCTTAAGCTATTATACAATATTGTCAATTTATAATGATCATTATCAAAATGTGTCCTTTGTTTAACTTATAGTGTCGGGGGGCAATTGTGTGTCTCTTTAAAATCATTTTTCCTGATTACAAAATTTCGGAAAGATTTGTCTCTCCAAGAGTGTGGTGTGTGTGTGTGTGTGTCATCATAAATATTTTTACGAGAGAAAGAGAATCTTGCACTGTTATTTTATCAACGTATGGTAATGCGTAAATAAAGGTAAAGAGAGAGGCATCTATTTTACCTTTTATTTAGATTTACACGCTGGCGAATAAGGTAGGAATCTTTTTATACAGTATTTATCGACATAGGTTTCCGATGAACAAAATCGGGATAGATCGAGAGTGGGAGGGGGGGGGGTTTACGTCAGAGTGCGTCAGGGTTGCATAATGTTTTAGTAACATTTTTTTCAATATTTTATATGCTCAATTTTATCCGATAGATTTGTTTAACTTTATGCTAATTCATTTATTTATAAGACAAAATAAAGCAAATATCTATTTGTAATGTCTCAATGAAACGGATATTCCTAACGAAGATCCACATGAATATACGTTACGTAGCTGATTATGCAACTTTGGAATGTGCTTTCTGCTTTTCCGGTTGTAATTTTTTCTTCTCATGGTAGTTTCACACGAAAGTAATATTCTTTATTTACAAAGACGCGAAAGAAAAGAAATGACGTTAGTCGACGACCTTAGTTTTCTCATCCTTAATATGGGAAAATACAAGGAAGGTTGAAACATGCAAGGAGGTATAAATAAAAGGAACATAACGTGGGAATAATTAAATATTACTAGTTAAACGGACTTTAATTTCTTTGTATAACGTTATATGATCAGTCACTTCAATTTTAATATACGTATTTAATGATGGCAATAATTTAATATGAAATTCAAAAAATGAGCAATGAATTGATTAATACATCTAATCTAATGCACGTAATGTAATGTTATATGTATATCTCTTCCTATGCATACAGTAATTGAGCAGACAATGGCATTGATAAAACTATTTCATACTCTGTCTTATCGACGGAATAAACTCTTTTTGTATGAATGTTATAAAAATTTGGTTGATACGTTCGCTCGGAATCCAGTAGTGCCGACAGTTTCACGCTATGTCGTTTCTTCGAGAGAACGTTGATGAAAGAACGTCATTGTTAACGTCAAGTAAGTTACTTCAATTATCCTATATAGTGTATATGTATGTATGTATGTATGCATGCATCTTGAGTGTGCAGATGTATAGATAGTAAATACTTTTGATAAAATACAAACTTCCTCTTATTCTAGCATTTCACTGATGTCTGCTAGAAAATATGATATACAATCATGAAAGATTTTTAATTACAATTTATTTAATTATTATTTATTTAATTATTATTTATTTAATTATTTTTTTTCAAAAATAATCACTCGACGCGACATATAAATATTTTCTCTTTCGTTTATTCCATATCCATATCCGATAATTAATAATTGAAATGAATCATCTAGAGCATAAGTTATACTTCACAAAATGAACTTTTCTATTAAGTTGTCTTAATAAATATTTCTTCATTTTCCTTCTTGTTTTCTCTCTCTTTTTTTATATCGTTCTCGACAAGAGATAAGAAACTTCATCTCGCTTGTATAAATACTATAAAAAAGAAATCTCTTTTACTGATTATGAGATTTAAATGAGAGCTCGTCAATGAGTTTTAATCTCTTTTATGTTCGGTATGTTTTTACAATCATTTTGCGATGTAAAGAAGATATAATTGACTTGCGTCAATTTATAGCACGAATTTTACAAGCTTGGATGATTGTGAAGATTTGATGATCTATAAAAAAACACTCGACATTTACTAGGATT